CTCGGTATCGATGATGCCGGATTCGGATTCCTGGATCTCGATAACCTATTTAAAACTTCCATCTGAATTGAGATCGGGGTTGAAATACAAAGTCTAATTTTACAGCCACGGAATTTTGAATGAACCAAATATCTGATCATTGAGAGTTCGGATCGAAAAAATGATAACCTTTTCGGAATCCTCGACCTCAACAACCTATTTAAGATTTATATTACTTGAATCACGTTCCGAAAATATAGTATCTTGCTTCAAGCCAGAACCATCTTTGGAAAAATGGCTCAGCGTTAAAAAAATGGTGCAGGACGGAACCTTTTCAAACATTCGGAACTATTGAGAATCTGAGATGGTTCTTTAAACTAGCTGGAACCATAAATAGTTCCATATGACACCTTATTTTTTTTTCAGAGTAGTTAACAGATCTTCCACGATTAATGAAGTCGATTTGTACTTAGAATGCATTCTAACATAAATGTTGACTTCCTTTATAGTCAAGAAAATCAGGGAATATGTAGTATTCACTAATTAATTAATACGTAGAGTGCTTTAAAAAGCAAATAATTGTTCTGAATTTCTTTTAGAAAATCTTCTTATTTTCGAGTGAATGAATTCCATAATGAAAAAAACATAGTACACTCTAGAAACTGCCTGCATATATTGTTTGATTTTTTGAAATATCTTTTCTTTGCATTTATGTATATCTATTCAGGCTATCAATGAAACAGAACCGTTATCAGGCGACTCATCCATTTTTAGCGGTATATGGTATCCAATATTCTCACTTAACAATCGTAAAACATTTATCACATCCACTCAATATAGTCAACTAGTCTCTTCTTCATATACAGTAATGACCATCACTATAAGTGAAGCATCGTATTATATAAAAAACACTGAATCACCTATTGCCAAACAACAAGAAGTGATTTTTCATACACTTTTATTTACAATCATATGTCTTGAAATATCTGGTTTGGTTTTTCTCATTGTCAAACTCGTTTTTATTCCCATATTCAAGAAAGCTATTGTTCACTATTACCGTGCTCCACGTGGTAAAGTTATGCCAACAGATGAAAATGCATCACATGATAAAGTTACGCCAACACATGAAAATGCATCACATGAATCCAGCTCAAAAACTAGATCTGAAGATGGCTGACTTATCACATATCTCATGAACTGATACACATGCCAAACATTACCTATCTTGACCGTTTTTCAGTCGATTAGTAAAGCAATATAAATATAATTATAATGTTCTTTAATTTATACACCTATTTCTGTGGGAGTGGATGTGGGTGATTTGTTAGCTAACCTTGGTCACGACTTCGATCTGACCTACAGTTCTTATCGGACGCCTTGATTTTCTAACTGTTTGCGTCATATAAATATCAGAAAGATAAGAATTGAATATTAACATATTATATATTGAATTTCATATAGAGCGGCGAGTCACGCAGACATTCACTGAGACAATGATAACGTTTATCACTGATACATTGAATCTGTGTATGCCAATCGTCTATCGAAAGGCATCTACATGCGCATCATCAGAACCTCTCATTGATGTGACTACCATGAGAGAATATATGGGGGTTCACAGCGTTATATTTTAGTGGGACACTATTCTATAGATATATATACTTGACTCTTTCACGACCTTATTGATCAAGCTGACCATGGCAACTTCATCCGATTTCCAATGAGCACAGACATATTGATGCAAACGCGTGCCAGCCATCCGAAGTTGGTATAAGAGCGGAACAACCATAGGACGTACACCATCACACAACAGAGATGAGCAAGTCAGCATTTTTGTTTGCACAAATCAAGCCAAGTTGAAGTTCAACCCGATTTTCTCCATGTTTTCTGTAATTGAAGGCAAATTATCGAAAGCATTTTTTCTTTAATTCATATTACATTTTTACTATCGTTTCCTAAACTATTTATTAATCTAACTATTATAAAAACAAAACAAAACAACGTATTTCCGTCAAACAGATTTCCGGAAAATGAAATATCCAATAAAGATTGCAGAAAAAACATCTGCATATTTAAGCATTCATTACCTTATTTCGCGTGACTTAACTCTATGGGCATATTTGCTGACATTCATTTCTATTTTCTCACTATATTTCAAGTTAGAAAACCGAAATTGAAGTGACTCATGACTTGTCCATCTTTGACACAGAGCACTTCAGCTGCCATCAACACAACGACTACTCCATCAGAAGTCATATATCTATAGAAACCACAACTCTATATGTTGCCAACCAAATGAGAGTATGAGTGTGAATATTTTTTCTCTTGTGTTACGCCCAGATCCTCGAATTATGAAATCTCAATAGTCGCCTTACCCAAGCAGACAAAATTTCTCAAACACGCGTGTAAACTATCAGAAAGCATTAATTTCGTGCGTTTTTTCGCAACACTTTTACAGTGACGCTTTGAACGATAAATGATAACAGTTTTATTGCGTGAAAATGAATGATTTGACAATTTTTAATACAAATATTTGCGTCGTTATTTATTTTCAGAATTTCAGCTTTTAAACGGTCAGTAACACAAAATTTCGGACGCTTTAGGAGGCGTTTTAACGAACAAAATCTCTCATCATTGTCTCATGTAGAATTATGAGCATTTAAGCTGTCAGATACTGAGAACAAGGTGCGTGTTAACAGATCAAAGTTTTGTCATTTGAAACTGTGCACGTTTACACAATTTTTCATACACTTCCATGCATAAACACACGTGTGCACGCACGGCAGTGATGTTTTTACAGCAATTAAATTCAAATAGAAAGGAGTTTTACATTAACGTTGTTTCTGTGAAGCACTAGAGTTACTTCTTTATTTTAACTAAAAATCTCACAGTTAAATAAAGCTAATTTTCTATTACAATGAAATAACAAAATTCTTTGTCGTTGTATCGAATCACACTATCAGGATTGTATAAATTGCTCATCTCCTCTTGAAAAGCTCAGTTCCTTTTAAAAATAATTATTTTTTGCATACATATCTCTTTACTATCTGAGTTATTCGTTTTCGTATTTCTCTATCGATAAAAATATGAAGAACTAGTAAATACTTCAGCTCTCGATTGTAGTCATGGATGAGTTCTCTTTATCTTTCTTCCGATTTTAGTCGACTCGACAACCATTAACATGAAGATTTTCTCATACATGTCACTCTCCTCATACTTGACTCTATTTTCCCGTTTATTGATACCCATGATAATAGAGATTACAATGTAGGAGAAAAAAGGTTATAGATCAACGATGAAACGAGTTCGGCTTTTCTTTTGAGCATTTCTTACTGAGATAGGAACGATAATCAGGTAGACAGATAGATATTTAGTTTCCCTTCAAAACAAAAGTGTTTTTTCTTTCATCTTTTCTGAAGCACAATATAGAAACTAGTGTTGTAGTTATGTAGCAGAATTACATCCCTTCCCACTTAACAGGCCTCTACCGATATAGCCTAAGGATCTCAACCAACCAGAGATTATCTTTTGAAGTGGATTGAACTTATTCGGTAATTTTGCTTTTACATATATATATATATATATATATTAAGGATTTTATTCTTTCCGATAAAATTGTTTTTTAATCTAATAATTTAGGTAAATATGTTTTCCCAGGTCCAAGCAAGGAGGCCGGGAAACGGCCTGTTCTCGCGCATTCCCGCGATTTCACGAAAGCAGTATTCCGGACCGGGAGATCTCCGAACTTTTCCTGTAAGTTCCGCCAAGTTCCTGTTGGTTCCCGTCGAAAATCATCGGAAATCACCGGGAAAATTCGGAGAAATCCGTCCCGGAATCCTGCTTCCAGGGTCCGATGATATCCGGCGTTTTCCTGCACGTTCCGGTGCGTTTCCACATAGATGTCATAATACCTTTACACTGGGTATCGAGAGTTTTACGTCACAATACCCTATGCAGCAATAGTTTATCGAGTATCCATTCTTACTGCATTTACAACCTGATGTAACTACATTAAGCGTATCCACTTTTGGGTATCCACATTTATATATATATATGTGTTTTGAAAAGCTGAGGAATTTGAGTTGTTTTGGTGTATCCACTTTTTGGTATCCATATATATATATATATATATATAAATGTGGATACCCAAATGTGGATATCCAAAAAGTGGATACACCAAAACAAC